GCATCCTCATCCTCCTCTACGCCATGTACAAGTACCGCAACCGCGACGAGGGCTCCTACCAGGTGGACCAGAGCCGGAACTACATCAGTAACTCGGCCCAGAGCAATGGGGCGGTGGTGAAGGAGAAGGCCCCGGCCGCCCCCAAGACGCCCAGCAAGGCCAAGAAGAACAAGGACAAGGAGTATTACGTCTGAGCGCCCCCCCCCCCTCCCTCCCACCCCGCACCGCCCCACTGCCAGCCGCCCCTCCCGGGAGGGCCCGGAGCAGGGCGCGGCCCCGCCGGAGGTGGGGGGGACGCCGGGGGCCGCAACCCCGCGGCCTCGGCCTCCCTCACCAGGAGGAAACAAACGCAAAAAAAAAAAAGAACGAAAGAAGAGAAGGAATCAGAACCCCGTGCTCGTCCCCTTCCTCCCGCCGCGCCGCGCGCGCCCCGCCGGCCCGCGTCCACCTGTCCGGCCCGCGTCCACCTGTCTGGCCGGCTTCGTGCGCCAGGCAGGGCCCGCGCTGGCAGCCCTGGTTGATTTATTTTTTTAAGGGGGGGTTAGTTTTATTTTGGTGGGGTTGTTGGGCGGGAAGGAAGGCTGGGGTTTTGTAAAGTGTCCACCACGTGTCCCCCTGCGTCCCCCCTCAAGATTTCTTCCCCCCTCTGTTCCTTCCGCCTTCCTTCTCCCAAGCCCCCATCCCAGGCTTGCTGTGTCTCTCCACACCCCACTTCCCGCTTTTTTTTCTTAATTTCCTCCCCTCCCTCCCTCCCTCCCTCCCTCCTTCCCTCCCTTCCTTCCTTCCTTCCTTCCTTCCTTCCTTCCTTCCTTCCCTCTGCCTTCCTTTTCCTCCTCCTCCTCTTCCTCTTCTTTCTTCTTTTTCTTCTTCTTTTTTATGTATCTGGTTTCTCCTTTTCCTCCCTTTGGGTTTCCAGAGTTGGTGGAACAAGGGTGGGAGGGTGGCCCCGACGTGGCCAGCGGGCAGAGGCATCGCTGGGGTTGCCCCTCAGTGCCCCCCAACTTCCTCTGGGGCTGCCTCGGGAGGGGGCCTGGGCCTGGCTGAAGGCCTGTTCTGTGTGCTGCCGGGCAACGTGCATTGGGAAGCTGCTGGCGGAGCAGGGTGGGGGGGCGGTGGGGGGGGAAGGCAAATGCAGATATATATTAAAAGACAAATAATCTAGATACCGCGAGCAACCGCCTGTGGCAGCCGCCAAGTTGGGCACGGGCAAAGGAGGGAGCGAGCCGGTGTCTGTGGACTGTTGGGGTCACCTCTCGGCCCATAGGCTCCCTGCTCCCCCAGTTTTTTTTTTTCTCTCTCTCTCTTTGTTAACAAACGTGTCTAAGTCTTGGAAAACACCCCCAACCTTGGAAATGTGTGGGAAAAAGAAAACAAAAACTTTCCAAATTCCAACAGTCCTGTGCAGTTTGTTCAGGGTGGGTCCTAGCTTTGGGCTGGGTTCTGGGCCCAAAGTAGAGGCCCATGAGAACTGGTAAGTACCCCTCAAACTTCTGAGCTGAACAAAGCTTTGGGCTTCTAGTACCCCTGGTGTCTTGTGTCCTGCAGTTGGGGGGAAGCGGTGTGGGTGGGACACGCTGCAGCTGGTGAGGGAGGCCGGTCTCTGATCAAGGTCATGACCTCAGCTACTCAGGATGTGTCTGATAAGGGCCTTGTGCTTGTACTGGTCTGATGCAGGACAGATGTTGTCCAGCCCTGGGAGGGAGGCGGCCCCCTGCTGGGTTCATAGATCCAGGGCCTCCAGGTGTGTCAGTGGCTGAGCCCACGATGCCCACAGCCCCACCCACACCCCCTTTCTCTGCTCTAGTTCTGGGCCAACAGGAGCTTGAATCTGGGGACATCTTGGCCCCCAAGTCCTCTGGCAGCTCCTGATGCTGAAGGGGAGAGGCAGAGCCCAGCAGCCTGGCCATCGGTGGAATCTGCTCCTTCCCGGTGGCCTGGCAGGGTTGAGGGCGGGTCTGTCCTTTGTGCTTCATGGGCACTTCTGGGCAGTAGGCTTCAAATGTCCAGGAGGACCCACGTGTGGGGGCCTGGGGTTTCAGAGGGTGGGTCAGGGTCCCAGGAGAGGTGGAGAGGGTGGTCATGACGCTGGACACCAGGATATGTCATGAGGGCCCCTCCCTCAACCCTGTGGCTCTCCCCTTCCCCCTCTTGCCTCTGCCTGCTAGGCTCTGGGCACAACGTCATCCTTCCTAGCCTGACTCACGTGTGGAGCGCTGGGGACATTGGCTTTCTTTGCCCACCTGAGCCAGCCACGCCCGGAGGCACTTTCCAGCCCCGCTTGTCCCCCAACTGCACAGTCTTGGAGCCTGAGCTCTAAAGCTGGTGGGAGTCAAGAGGCCCTGTCCTGAGCCAGTGTTGCTAGGGTGTCTCGCACTGAGCCTCACGCCTGGATCCTCTGTCACTGCCCTCCACCCAGGGACAAGACTCACCTCAGCTTCTCCCCCATGGTCACTAGTCAGGCAGCCGGGAGTTCTTGGTGACAGGAGGGCACATGCTTGCTCCAGCAGGCTTTAGGATGACCTCAGAGAGTTGGAAGTCTGGCTGTGGCCCTGCTGGTTGCTTGTGATTAGAAGGTTGAGACTTCCTGCCCCTAAAGGGCTTTGCTGGAAGATTTCTAGACTTGGCCATTGACTTAGATTACTTTTCCCTTAGAGATGGTCATTTCAGTCTGTCTCTGTCTCTGTTTCTTTGTTGGTACGGGGGCCTGAACTCAGGGCCTCACACTCTTGCTTGGCTTTTTTTTAGGGGGAGAGGTTGGTCATGGGGCTTGAACTCTAGGCCTGGGCTCTGTCCCTCAGCTCTTCAACTCAAGGTGAGCACTCTACCACTTGAGCCATAGTGCTACTTCCAGTTTTCTGGTGGTTAATTGGAGATAAGAGTCTCAGGGACTTTCTAGCCCAAGCTGGCTTTGAACCTTGATCCAAAGATCTCAGCCTCCTGAGTAGCTAGGATTTCAGGTGTGAGCCACCTGAAAAAAGCTGGTGCCCAGCTTTTTTCCCACTCAAGGCTGGCACTCTACCTCTTGTGCTAAACCTCCATTTCTAGCTTCTTGCTGGTTAATTGGAGATGTTTCTTGCTCTTAAAACTCATGGACTTTCCTGCCCTGATTGGCTTCTGTGATTCTCAGATCTCAGCCTCCTGAGCAGCTAGCTAAGATTACAGGTGTGAGCCACCAGCGCTTGACTGCAGCCCAGTCATTGCCCCCTGCATCAGTGCGGTTGATACCTGGCTCACCTGGCCGCAACCCCAGGATTGGCCCAAATAGCCTGTGGAAGTGGCAGAAATTCTAGGTCTGGGCTATTTGAATGGTGCTTAGAGAAGATGATCAGGAAATCCCATTTTAGGGGCACCAATGCCAAGGGTTTGAGAAGTTCATCATGGAGTCTGGCTGATGCCTCTTTTCCTTGAAGACCTACCCAGCCACAGAGGGCAAGCCAGCCCAGTCAGTGCCAAGGTCTCCTCAAGTCCTTCCTCCAGAGGTGGGAGTGGAGTCACAGCGCCTTCTGCTGCTCCTATACCGGTCATCCAGGCCAGCAGTGGTCTGGTTGAGAGCCCGGGACTGCCGGGTGCCCATGGCTCCCCTTTCCCACACTGTGTAGTTGGTCTTTCTACCGTAAGAGCTCTGTAGCCTCTCGGGTCATGGCAGTAAGAATAGGAGCCTCCCCATGGAGGCTGCTATCCAGGTGCCCAGCATCTCTGAGGGGAGGCCTTTGGGCTCCTGATGTCACTCCCTAGAGGAGTAGGGAGTGGCAGGAACTAGACCTGTCACGTTAGTGCGTTAGAAAAGGGGCGACTTGGGCTGGGAAGGTGGCTCAGTGGTAGAGCGCTTGCCTTGCATGCTCAAAGCCCTGGGTTCCATTCCTCAGCACCACATAAGAAAAAAGCCGGAAGTGGCGCTGTGGCTCAAATGGTAGAGCACTTGCCTTGAGCTGAAGAGCTGAGGGACAGCGCCCAGGCCCAGAGTTCAGGCCCCACAACCGGACCCAAAAAATTAAATAAATAAAAAAGAAAAGAAAAGGGGAGACTTGTGTTGGAGCTGAAGGACTGGCTCCTAGGAGGCCGAGACCAGCAGGCAAGGCCAGGAGAGAGGCCACTCTGAATGTGGGTAGAGGGGCAGTCCTTGCCTGCTCAGTGAGCAGGAGAGGAGGAGCCATCTCCCCTGGGGTCTGCTTTCTGGAAGTTTCTAGATACTCTAAAGTCCCCCATATGATGAGTGAGCTTTACTAAGGCAGCTGGGTTTTGGCTGGGTAGAGGCAGATAGAAGACAGAGCCAGGGCAGGCCCCATGGCCCAGGCACAAGCATCTGTACAAACGCAATCTCCGCCTCTGCCCTTTTGCCTTGGGGCAGGGGGCTGCTCAGAGAGCAGTGATCTGAGCAGGGTCATAGGCAGAGGGCCAAAGGTTAAAGGCCCCAGAGGCCCAGAAGCTGCAAGAACAGGCCAGTGGACCCCTTCTCCTGGGGGGTGGGAGCTGCTTTCTGTTCTCCTACCAAGTGTTCTGCGTCTATGTACAAGTGAGTGCACATAGCTGGCGTGTGTGCATGCGCGCACGTGTGTGTGTGTGTGTGTGTGTGTGTGCGTGTGTTTCAGCCTCCACTGAGGTGCCTGGCAGTGGCCACATGGATGAATGCCAGAACTGGCTGACAGGCGGGCTGTCAACGATCACTGGGCGGCACACAGCTTCTGTCTGGAGCCTGGTCTCTGAGGCGCACTGCACCACCCTTCCCGTGAGCTGTGCCAGGGAGCCCCAAAGGCTCTTGGCTGATTCTGAGAGGGATGAGGAGGCCCTGATGAGTGTGTCAGATGCTCGGATCAGGAGGTTAGGAGCAGGCCCAGTTAAGCTCTGGAGACCTACAGAGTCTCCTCCTAGCTGTGAGCCCGAAGTTTCTCATCTGTCAAACAGGGGCAGTGCATACCTGACGGGGTTTGGGATGAAAGAGGAAAGGGGTCAGTGCTCCAAGGAGCCCAGCCCAGCCCCTGGCCCATCGCTGCTCACTGGAGTCAATAGGGGACATCATTCATTTATTCTCGGCTCTTTGTTCACACCGATGTCTCTCTGGCCCGCCCTGTACCAGCTGGGTCACGGAGCAACGGGGCCACCTGGCCCTCTACTGCTGTGGACAAGATAGGCGTGTGGCCTTCGCCGTGGGCTAGGGTGAAGTCTGGTTCTGCACCAGGGAGGTAGGGCCCCTGTCCTGGGTCTGGGAGACCAAGAGGCATGGTGGAGGGGGGACAGTGGCGGGCAGAGGATGCAGCTGAGCATGTGGCTGGGGTTTCCTGAAGGGTGGGAGGGGTCACATAGCCAAAGGCCTCCACAGCGCATGCCCAGCCAGGGAGGTGAGAGCCGGCGTGCACCAGGTGGCCCGGTGGGGCGCCCAGCAGTGGGGGCATGTACCCTGGCCTTGGCCTTTCCCCTCTCTGCAGTCACAGGGGCAAGTCGGGGCGACGCGCTGCCTGCAGCCTCTTGCCAATCACGCCGTCCTTTGTCCCTTCTGAGCTAGACAGAGCTGCCAAAGAGACAGCCTCTGCCATCTTCAGGGGAGAAAAGAAGCTACCTCCTCCTCCTCCTCTTCCTTCTCCTCCTTTCCCTCTTCTCATCCTTTGTGGGCTTGCAGAAGGCTAGAACTGCGTGGACTTGAGCACGGAGGGTGCCGCCGGAGTGGGGCGCGCCGGCTTCTTCACAGCCCTGCTCAGGAAAGACACAAGAGGAAAGGAGAGTGTTGTGGGGATGTTGAATGACCCTTGACCTGAAAGCATCCTGAGGGCTCCAGAGAACCTGCTGGTGGCCCTGCCAGCCATCTGAGGGCTCTGGAGTAGGGTTTGGGGCCTGTGAGCCCCCCCCCCTAGAAATGCCCTCTGGGCAAAGGACTAACGTTCTTTCCCACTTGGCCTCTCTCAAGGTGGTCCTGAGGAATGGCAGGGCGGTTTGGGCCAAGGAGGGAGATAGGGAGAGAGGAGGGGACAGGAAGGCGGGGGGGGGGGGGGGAACCCGCCCTCCAGGACTAGCCACTCACTGTTTCTGCACGTCCTGCATGGTGTCAGGCAGCGGCAAGTTCTTGGTCTCCGGCAGCAGCAGGGTGGCCAGACCGCCCAGCACTGTCACGCTCCCGTAGATGAACAGGGGGATGGAGGGGCTGTGGGTGCTCAGCATCCGGATCAGAGGCCCCAGGAAGGCCCCCATTCGGGCCGCCATCTGGCAGAGGCCCACTGCTCTCATCCTGTCCGCGCAGATGTCCCTGTGAGCGCTCCCCCCACCCCCAGCCTGGACCTTCTGCCCTGACCCAGCCCCCCTTTCAGTCCAAGGAAGCTCAGGTGAGGCTGGGCCAGGACAGCCAGGCAGCAACCAGGCCACATGGAAGGAAGACCCAGGGCATGACCACTGGGGTCTTAGGGGAGGTCCTTTGCCCTCCCCCCCTCCCAAATCACGGGCCCCCTCTCCTCGGGCTCAGGACAGTCTTACCTTAGCACCGTGGGGAAGAGCTCGCCACTGAAGATGCTGATGCAGGTGAAGGTGCTCCCCAGAGACCCCAGCCCCAGCAGAGCCAGAGCCGAGCGCAGTGCCCCCATCTCTGTGGACAAGAGACAGGGTTGGGGTTAGAGTGGGTGGTCATGGCTGGGGTGGGGGTCTGAAGGGGGCTCCCTTCATCCTCGGAACATCACCACGAACTCTACGCCCATCTTTCCAAATGCCTGCGAATGGTCTCCCACACCACACTGTGCCCCTAATCTGTTTTTGTTTGTTTTTAACTGTATTTTTTTGTCTTTTCTTTTTTAGTACTGAGGTCAAACTCAGGACGTTGCACTTGCTAGGCAAGCACTTTGCCACTGAGCTACATCTTAGCCCTGTACTCCCAATGTTTCCCACCAGACTCCCAGAGTCAGAATCTTCTCTGAGCCCTCATTCCCCTTGTTGAAACACATCTATGTGTGTATATACATATATACTACACGTCTATGCACGTACATACACACACATATATAATTTTATTTATTGTGTCAGTCCTAGGGCTTGAAAAGCTGGTGCTCTACTACTTGAGCCACAACTCCAGTTCAGCCTTATTTTCATAGTTAATTGGAGAGAAGAGTCTCACAGACTTTCTTTCCCAGGCTGGCTTTGAATCTTAATCCTCAGATCTCAGCCTCCTGAGTAACTAGGATGACAGATATGCGCCACTAGTGCCCAACTGCTGCACAGTGTTTCTCCCCACTGCCTCAATTCTATCACTGTCCCTGGGCTTCAGCACAGCCTCAGTATCCTGGCAATCCCAACACCCTCCTTCCTAACAGGCTACTGCGGTGGTCCTGCGCCCTCTGAGGAGGGACCCAAAGGTCTTTGTTCCCAGCTCCATAGTGTGGTACAGCAGTACAGCTCACCTTGAGGCACCTGCGTGTTGGCCAGGATGCAGAGCCCAGCCAGCACCAGGGAGCTGGCCTGAATGGAGCGGCGGCCCAGATAGTTCATCAGGAGCAGGGTGAAGATCTTGCTCAGGAAGTCCATGGCCCCGATGAGCCCTTGGAGCAGGAACATGTTGCTGCCCAGGGACTGCAGGTCCAGGGCCACACCGTAGAAGCAGAAGCCAAAGGCAAACCTGGGAGCAGGGAGGGTGGGGCAGGGCGGGGCAGGGCTGCTCTTCTGTCTTTCTCAGACTGCATTTCCTGAGCCTGCTGACCATAGTGGCTTCTGACTGGTACCACTATGCTCATCTTATTGGTTGAGATGGGGTAGCACTTTTTGCCCTGGTTGGCCTTGACCTGCCATCCTCCAGCTCTCTGCCTCTGCAGTAACTGGGGTTATGGGCCTGAGCCATCACATCTGGCCCCTCCTCTGTGGGCTTGGGGCTTTGCTGAGTGGCCTGGACCCCTGGATCACCTCTTGTCCTTTCCGGCTCCGCAGCCTTCGTGTCTTTGTCACGAAGCTCCATTATTCAAACTCTGCTTTCTACTTCATGCTCACCCCTGCCAGGGTGCTCATCTGTCCTGACTGGTCCCTCCTGGACCCTGATATACACAGAGGTGACAGTGCTGCAGGCCTGTCCCGGGCGTATCTGGCCGGTGGCCCACAGGAGACCCAGCAGGGCCCACCTTGTTACCCTGAGCACCTAGTCCTGACTCAGGTCCTCTGCAGCTGGCAGCCAGAGGTGGAGGAGGCTGCACCCAAGGCATGGGATTGAGAGGCGATTACCAGCAAAGCATGGAGACACAGATCCGGAGACGCAGTACAGGTGTGGAGAGCAGGGTGCTCAGCTTGATGGTAGCCTGGTCCCCACTCAGCTCCTCCCGCATGGCTGACAGCAAGGCCTGTGGAGACAGGGGCTGTTGGCACTGGGCACCAATAGGTCCTCTTCCTCTACACACTTGTCCTGGGAGGCGGGGCCTTCGGCTGGCCTCCATGAGGACCCTATGCGAGGAAGAGGATCTGAGAGGTGGGCCTGAGGGAGGACCCGGCCCACTTCACCTCCATCGTCAGTGTGTCCTGCACAGTCTTTTTTCCATTGATAATGGCTACCCTCTGCAGTTCCCGCAGGCCCCTATCCAGCTTGCCTGTGATGATGAGCCACCGTGCCGATTCCGGCAGCCACCTGGAGTGGAGGGGACATGAGAGGGAGTCATCTGGGTCATCCCCTACAGATTCCAAGGCTAGCCTGTGCCTGCAGGGTTCACTGAGGGTAATTTGGAGCAGGTTCCTGGAGACCCAGGCTGCATCCTTGGTACCTGAACACTAGGCCAGAACGTCTAATTTCTGTGGCTCTGCCCCTCTGTCCAGTCCCTGCTCTCCTGTCCTGGCCACGCCCTCCCACGTTGGCCCCGCCTTCCTGTCTTGGCTCCTCCCTCCTATTTGGCCCCGCCCTCCTTTACCTCGCTCCACTGTCCTTACCCTGGCTCCACCCTGCGGCCCTGGCTCCGCCCTCCAGCCCTGGCCCCGCCCTCCTGTCGTGGCCCCGCCCCCTGGCTCCTGCCCTCTGAAGCCGGGAAAATGAAAATCTCTCACACCAGACACCCTAACAGTGGGCAGGAAATGGGGTGCGGCACACTCACCATGAGTAGAGGAAGCAGATGAAGAAGGGGACAGAGATCGCCATCTGTAGCAGTGGCCACCTGCGCACCCCGTAAGCCACGGCGCCCGTCAGCATCTGGCCAAAGCTGAAGCCCATGAAGTTGAAGATCATCGTGACTGTTCGGGATTTCGCGGACGTCCACTCCATCACTAGGAAGACAAGAGTGAGCCGCAAGGCCAGCACCGCGCCTGCGCACAGCCTCCCCGCCATGGCCTGGCGCCTGCGCACAGCTTCCCCGCCATGGCCTGGCGCCTGCGCACAGCCTCCCCGCCACGACCCAGGGCCAGGACCTACGCAGAGTGGTTGTGTTCATCATAATGCCTGCCAGGCCAAAGGCCACCAGGAACCGGAAGAGGCAGTAGAGGGAGAAGGTGGGGACAAAGGCGGCCACCGTGCCTGACACGGCCACCTGAAGGTAGTTCCACGTCAGCACCTTCCTGCGCCCGAACCTGTGGCACACAGGGACACGCCGTGTCACTGGGGCCTCCGAGCATGTGGTAGAGCAGGGTAGGTTTTTGTTGCTGCTGCTGTTACTTGTTTGTGTTGGTCATGGAGCTTGAACTCAGGGCCTGGGTGCTGACCCTGAGCTTCATTTTGGTCGAGGCTAGAGCTCTACCCGTTGAGCCGCGCCCCACTTCCTGCTTCTTGGTGATTAATCTCACAGACTTCACTGCCAGGACTGGCTTTGAACCCAGATCCTTAGCTCTCAGCCTCCTGAGTGGCTAGAATTACAGACGTGAGCCACCTGTGCCTGGCTTTGAGCAGGTTTTACGAATGACCATCTTGATGAGAAAGAAGGACCCTCAGCAAGCCGGGAGAAAACTGAGGAACTGTGGCTGGGAAAAGATGCAGGCTCTCTGATACCCCAGAAGAAGGGGCCTGCTCAGGCAGATGGGGGTCTTACCGATCGGAGATGTGGCCGCACACTGCAGCTCCAGCCATAATCCCAGACAAGAAGATAGACTGGGCCATGGGCTTCATGGCCTGAGAGTCGCACACCAGGTCCCACTGGAGGGAGAGGAGGGGAGAGCTCAGCATAGGAGGTCATAGGGCCCACGTGAGAGAGGCCAGAGCAGTTCAGGAGATGCCCTGGGGAGCAAGGGCGCCCACAGGCACAGCGTGGTCTCCTCTGTATCCCATCACCCTTTGCTTCAGCACTTCCAGGACTCCTTATTACCCAGTGGGTCATAGGTCATATCTGTGCTTATGCCCTTCCCCCACCTTGCCTGGCCACCTTAGCTTCTACCTCTTCACGTGCCCTGAAGCCACTTCCCTCTTTTCTTTTCTTTTTCTCTTTTCTTCTTTCCTTCTTTCTTTTTTGCCTGTCTTGGAACTTGAACTCAGGGCCTGGGTGCTGTCCTTTGATGCTCAAGGCTAGCACTCTACCACTGGAGTCCCAGCTTCACTTCCAGTTTTTCTGATGCTTAATTACAGATAAGGGTCTCATGGACTCTCTTGCCCAGGCTGGATTTGAGAGATGATCCCCAGATCTCAGCCTCCTGAGTAGTTAGGATTACAGACGTGAGGGCCCCCCCACCCCTGGCTAGTTTTCTCTTTCTTTAGGAGGCTTCTTGCTCACTTGCTGGGACAGCTGCCCCTCTCCGCTGGCCTGGTTCTGCCTGGTGCCCATGTGGGGTACCTGGGCATCCTGGGCTCTGTGTGCCCAGCCTCAGAGAACCTGCAGGTGAACACACACCCCCACTTTTTTTTGTTGTTGTTTTTTGGTCAGTTGTGGGGCTTGAACTTGGCCTGGGCGCTGTCCCTGAGCTCTTCAGCTCAAGGCGAGCGCTCTACCACTTTGCGCCACAGCGCCACTTCCGGTTTTCTAGTGGTTCATTGGAGATAAGAGTCTCATGGACTTTCCTGCCCAGGCTGGCTTTGAACCGCAATCCTCAGATCTCAGCCTGCTGAGTAGCTGGGATTACAGGCATGAGCCGCCAGTGCCCAGCTCACCCCCACTATTGAGTTGCCTGGATTCACAGTGTCAGACTGGGTGTGCAGATGTGAATCTGCAGAGGTGCTTACACCACCCAGTGTTTGTAGGACCAAGTGACTGATGAACTGAGTGCCCTCTAGAGGGAGAGACAGACAGAGAGAAAGGGGGAGAAAAGAGGAGGAAGGGGGAGAAAGAGAGGAAGAGAGACGAGGAGAGGGAGGTCTAGGGAGGTGACTCCCTCTCAAGATTGGATGATGTGTGCGCATGCGTGTGTGCTGGTCCTGAGACTTGAACTCGGGACCCTGAGCTTTTTTTTCCTCCTAACTAGTGTGCCAGCCCTTGAACTACAGCTCTACTTTTTGGGCATTAAGAGTCTCATCCCCGACTGGCTTCAAACCTTGCTCTTAACCTCTAGCGAACCTAGGATTACAGGCTTCAACCACTGGAACCAAATCATTTTGAATCCGGCCAAGTGAAAGTATGCCTTTGACCTCCCCGGTGGTGGCAGCAGTAGCCGCGGCGGTGACAGGACATGTAGTCGACATGGGGGCTTACCGTGGTCACGATGGTGGAGGTGAAGGTGCTGTAATCGTAGACCCAGCCGTCCAAACATGGCTCCGTGGCAGCCTCGCTCCCGTTGGTGGCCGTGTTGTTGGGGTCCAGGAGCTGCCACTGGGGGTGTTGGAAGCGGCGGCAGCGATGGGGCTGCTGGTCAGGGCCAAGGGGGATGGACACGGCCAGGAGGGCCTCGGGGCCCGGGGCCCCGGGGAGGCTGGCCTGGGCAGTGCCGTTGTCCAGGAGGGGCACCCAGCAGCGGTGTCTGGGCACGGCGGCCGAGAAGTTCTCTATCATGTTCTGACTGGTGAGCAAAATGATGGGGACCAGTAGGGCCACATTCTGTAGCAGCTGGAACTTGCCCAGGTCCCCTACTTTGTCCAGGAGGTCAGGAAAAGCCATGGCGCGTACGTGGAGGCGCGGTGAGCACCCCCGTCACGAGGCCCGGCCGGGACCCCGGGACAGAGCGTGCCAGCCGCTTCCCTCACAGCGGCGCCCACGCCCGCCTGCCCAGGGTTCCGGCAGGGGCTGCGCTGGCATCTGCCCGCCCGCTGGCCCCCGGGGTGGCTCTCCCTGAGATCCCGTCCTGGGCTGAGGCCAGGAGGCTGTTGGCTTCCCCCCCGAGATGAGGAAAAGTCAAATTTGGGAGGGGAGCCCGGGAGACTGAAGTCACCCAGATTGGAATTAAAGTGTGACCAGGGCTCACTTTGCAGATGTGGGTAATTATTTCCCCTGACAAACTTTAACCTGGTTTGGAGGGCAGGGGAGGCACCCAAGCAGAAGAAATACAGCCGCGTCTCCTGCCCACCCCAGCCTGGCCTCAGATGGCTCTTGGAGAGGCCCCAGGCTCTGGCGCTGGCACAGGGGGTGCCGAGTCCGCTGCCTTGCTCCTCACGGCGCCCCGCCTGCCTCTCGTGGAGGGACCCACAGGGAGGAGCTCGGGGAACGTCTCCTGTCTGGAGGCTGGCAGGAGCCTTGGGTGGCGGACCTGGCGGAGCGCGTGCGTGCTGGGCCTTCCAGCCCACGGGTGACACCTCTGTGATGTCACCACATTCCTCAGGCTGGGTGCCCCCAGCCGTGCTCTGCCCAGGTCTCCCGTCCCCACTGCGCGTCCTCCATTTTGCAACCAGCAACATGGTCGCCACTCCTAATTTTTCTGGATGGGTAGTCCCAGCGGGTCCCCCCCCAGCCTCGCCCTGGGCTGCCCTCCCCTGCTCCTGTCCCTCTGGGCTGACCCACACTCTGAGCCCTCACAGTGGGGCGGGGGGGGGGCATGGATGGACTCCAGGTCAGTGACAGCTAGAGACTCTTGCTTCCAAGCGGGACAGACCACAGTGCCCGTGGGTCTCTGCGTTCAGGGAGGTGCAGCCTCAAGACCTCTGCAGTAGTGAATTGTCCAGGCTAGAGGGTCAGAGAACAGAAAGCTGCAAATCTGTGCGTCCATGTGCACACAGGGGCCTGCACGTGTGCATGCTCACGTCTCCATGTGTGTCCAGTGTGTGTATGTGCAGCTGGGCCAGGTATTCTATGTTTCTGGGAATAACTCCTCTGCCACCTACCTGTGTGTGTGTGTCTGTGTCTGTGTGTATGTGCTTGAACTCTGAGTCTGAGTGCTCAGGGCTGTGCTCTCCCGCTTGAGACATAGCTCCACTTCTGGCTTTTTGGTGGTTAGTGGGAGGTAGGAGTCTCCTGGACTTCCCTGCCCTGGCTGGCTTTGAACTGTGATCCTCAGGTGAGCTGGCTGCCCCCTTGCCCTTCCTGTGCCTGTCCCGAGGGCCCTCTCTGGGCTCCCCCAGGAGGCACAGGGGCTCCTCCAGGGGGCTCTCCTAGGCTTGTTCCTTCCCTATGGGGCCTGGTGGCACCCTGCCTTCCCCCTATCTTCCTCTCTCTGGTCATGGGCCCTTTTTTCACGTCTCTTCAGATTTTAGTACTGATTTGAAAAGCAAATGAAGACTCGGGAAAGACCTATGGAGGTATGAGTTATTTTTTAAAAACAAGTTGTTTTTTCCCCCCTAATTGAGATTTTCATGTACACCTCTCCCGAGAAATTCAGAAAACATTGAAAGTTTTAACAAAAATAAATATTGCTCCTAAACCCACAAGCCATTATTCCCCACTGCTTATGTTTTGAAGTCATTATATCCAGGTACATTCAGCTTGACCAGCGTGAGCTATCAAACAGCTTTAACATGTCCTTTGGTAAAATCCCAAAGAAAGCCTCTGACTTTTAATTAGTGATTTTAACGTGTTCACATTTATTGTGATGGCCGATACGTTGGATTTACGGTATGTTTTCTTCTGCACTGTATTTTCTTTTTAAATCATGCTTTTCTGGTTCCGATTTCCCCCTGACTTTTCTTGTTCTATTTTTCTCTGTCTCAGTGTAGCAGTTATACATTTTCATTTCTGTTCTCCTTACATTTGAACGCACAAACGAGGAGCTATTTTGTGCTGTCCCTTCTCTCCAAACCTCCCACCTCCTCCTCCACCCTCACCCTCAACAGAAGGCCTTGCTTATTCCACTAAGAAAATAGAAGCCGCCCGTCTCGTTTTTGTCAGCAGCCCCCCCTTCTCGGCACCCCCACTTGGGAACATCTCCCCTCCCGTCTTTGGCATTTGTCCTTTTCCTTCCGGGTGGTTCTAATTTTCCGGCATCTTCCTTTCTTTGGCTCCTTCCTCCCTCTTCAACTACTGTTCCTTCTTTGCTTTCACCTACAATACATGGGGGGGGGGGGGGTGGGGATGCACACCGATCCAGGGGCTTGAACTCAGGGCCTGTGCCTGAGCTTTTTCACTCAAGGCTAGCTGAGCCACAGCGCCACTTCCAGCTTTCTGATGGTTTAGTGGAGATAATCTCGTGGATTTTCCTGCCCCAGCTGGCTTTGAACTGCGATCCTCAGACCTCAGCCTCCTGAGTGGCTAGGCGACCGTAGTACCTTTTGAGCATAGAATTGACCCTCATCCTCAGTCCCTCTTCCTGTTCTTTCTCTGATCCATTCTGGTCAAGTCTTGACCCGTCGCTGGGGCCCGTGGCATCTCCCGTCTGCATCCCCTTTTGCCCCCGCAGCCTCCGATCGTCTCCTCCTGAGACACTTTCTTCCCTGCTTCCCGCGTCCTCCGGGGGCTTCCTCAGGCTCCTTCGGGGCCTCCTCCTCTCCCCACAGGCTTGCCCTGACGAGAGGGGGGACCCGGGGCTCCATTCTCGGTGTCTTCTCCCTTGTCCGTCAGTTCTCATCTCAGCCTCCACCTCTTCCTGCAGTGGCCCACATCTCCTCCCGCTGTCTGAGTTCCGTCCTTTGCGAGCATCTCCCACATAGCGTGGCCACAGCGGGACTCTCCCAGATGTGCTTCTTGGACGTCTGCCCCCACCCTTCACCCCCCACCCTTCACCTCCACTTGGAACCTGGATCCTTCCAGCTGTTCAGCAGGATTCCCAGGAGCAGATGGAGAATCCATGGCGGCCCCTGGACAGACGTACTTCTTACCCACTCCGCATCTGGCCTAAGCCCCGAGCCATGCTGTTCAGTCAGCCCCTGCCCCTGCTGGGCTCCAAAGCTGGCACTGCCTCCTCTTCCGATTCCCAGTAAACGGCACGGCCCTCGCAAGGAGGCTGCAGCCTCCATCGCCTCTTGAAGCTGCCTCCTCCTGCCCTGAGCTCCGCACCCCAGCCCCGGCCTCCTGGCCTCCTGGCCATCCCGTGAATGAACCTGCTGTGGCTTTCTGCCTCAGGATCTTTGCACTTGCTGTTCTTCCCAGAGATTCCCCATGGCCCCACTTCCTTCCCGTCTTTGCTAGAAGTCTCCTCAGTGAGGGCTTTTCCTACCGCTTTATCTAAATTTTCACTGCCCCGGCTCTTGGCACCCCAACTTAGACTTCCTTGTTTCTCTGGCTATCACCTTCACAGGTCATAATTTACTCATTTATTGAGCTTTGAGCAGCCTCTCACCCCTGGAATGTAACCTCCTCGAAGGCAGCAGGTGACAGTGGCTGTTTTGTTTCTTGCTGGCCCCAGCCCTGGAGCTGGTTGGCACGTGGTAAACCCATGGGTGACCAGTGACCGTGGATGGCAGGCGGGAGGGCGGGAGGGAGCCAGGCATGAGTTCGATGTCACCAGCACGCTCCAGAACCCCGGAATGTGCATCCTGCGCGGCCCTGCCCACGGCCATCTTGCCAATTGTTCTTTACCCAGATTCCTTCTGCTCTTTAGTCCTTCTCTAAAATTTCTATTTTAAAATACGCAGCCCTTGACTTTGGAATTGATCATAATTTTCATTTGAAAACCATACCTTGCTTCTTCCTATTCTGATTCTGCCCGTTCTTGTTTCATGGGGGGGGGGTCCCTCATTTCTTTGTCTCTTAGGGGACACTGGATGTGTTGTGTTCCTCCCTCCCCCCCTTTTTCTTGCTGTTTACTCACTTAGATTTGTGGTGGAGCTAGGGTGTGCATGCAGGCCTTAGAGCTGGCCAGCAGGTTCTCTGCTTACACTTGAGCCACATCCCCAGGCTACTACCGCCTTTTGAGACAAGGTCTTGCTATGTAGCCCAGGCTGGCCTTGAACTTATGACCCTGCCTTCCCCTTGTGAATGCCAGGGTCACAGGCCTGTCCTGGCTGCTGCTGTTGGCGTGGAGACCCACTCGCTCGCTTGTCCGGTAGTTCTGCGTGGATGACGCGCCAGCTGCTGCCTGTGAGATGATTCCCAGCCCCATTTCTCGCTCTGTGGAAGCGCATGTAGTGATCAGGCCTTAAAGGGAAAGGCGGTAGCGTGAGCTGGGGAGTCCAAGGGGCGTCACCTTCGGCAGCACAGTAGCGAAGTCCTATTTGTGGAGGTGATATTGGAAGAAGCTCAAATAGTTGAAGGGACTAGAACTAGCAGAAGGTAGAGGCTGTGCAAAAGCCCTGGGGTAGGCATGTGCTCCTATGCTGAAGGCGTAGAAAGGCCAGTGAGCTTGGGGTGGGGCAAAGAAGAGTCTCCAGATCCCTCAGGGCCTGGGGGAAGGGATGAATCCATCGCTTATGTTTATGAAGGTGCCCTGGCTGCCTGAAGGCGGCGTGTGTGGAGAGAGGAACCCGAGACCACAGGGCCTTACGTCAGCAGCCCCAGGAGGGGTCGGGTCAGCGCAGCAGGGCAGGGAGAAGCACTTGGACTTGGGGTCTGCTCACTGCTTTGGTTTGGAGTTAGGTTAGTGAAAAGAATGGGCAGAAAGAAGAAACTGAGGCTGGAGGTAGGTGGAGATTGGTCACGTGATGGTGGGAAAGGACAGAGGGCATGGCCTGAGCCAGCCGGGCGCCACGGAAGGGCAGGGAAAAAATGGGGGTCACCACACAGCACTGTGGGGAGCTGGAGGCCCAGGCCCTGGGCTCAGGAGGATCAGAGAAGGCTGAAGAGGGTGGGAGGCCAAATCAGTAAGGCATGAGGGCCAAGGGGGGCTTGGCCTTCTAGAAGTTTCCGTTCCTTCAGTGATGCCCATGCTGTGGAAGGTGGGGGAGGGGAGACAGGGCCAGGCTGGGGAGGGGTGGGGGTGGGGTTGGGGGGGGCTGGGGGGGCGGGTGGACTCCTGGCTGCTCTAACAAGCAAGCCCTGAAACACACAGCAGCTCAAACAAGTGCCAGAGAAATGGATGTCCTCTGGGCTGGTGGAGTCTGGGGAGGCAGGCTCTCCCGGCCCACCTCTCACCTGTCATCCAGGTGTGCACCCAGCCAGAGGGGAAGAGAGGACGGCAGTTCACCCGATTCTCTGTGTGTGTCTGTGTGTGTGTCTGTGTGTGTCTGTGTGTCTGTGTGTCTGTGTGTCTGTGTGTGTCTGTGTGTGTGTGTGTCTGTGTGTCTGTGTGTGTGTGTCTGTGTGTGTCTGTGTGTGTGTGTGTCTGTGTGTGTGTGTGTGTCTGTGTCTGTGTGTGTGTCTGTGTGTCTGTGTCTGTGTGTGTGTCTGTATGTCTGTGTGTGTGTGTGTCTGTGTGTGTGTGTCTGTGTGTGTGTGTCTGTGTGTGTGTCTGTGTGTGTGTGTCTGTGTGTGTGTGTCTGTGTGTGTCTGTGTGTGTGTGTCTGTGTGTCTGTGTGTGTCTGTGTGTCTGTGTGTCTGTGTGTGTGTGTGTCTGTGTGTGTCTGTGTGTGTGTGTGTGTGTCTGTGTGTGTGTCTGTGTGTGTGTCTGTGTGTGTGTCTGTGTGTGTGTGTCTGTGTGTGTGTGTGTCTGTGTGTGTGTGTGTGTGTGTGTGTCTGTGTGTCTGTGTGTGTCTGTGTGTCTGTGTCTGTGTGTGTGTCTGTGTGTGTGTGTGTGTGTCTGTGTGTGTCTGTGTGTGTGTCTGTGTGCCCGCCAGTCCTGGGTCTTGAACTCAGGGCCTAGGCTCGGTGCCTGAGTTGGTTTTTGTTTTAGCTAGTGCTCTACCACTTGAGCCACAGCTCCACTTCCAGCTTTTTCCCAATTGGAGATGAGAGTGTCACGGACTCTCCCGCCGGGGCTGGCTTTGAACCCTGATCCACAGGTCTCGGCCTGCTCTGGATTTGAACGGCACTCGCTGCTCCTGACCCCTTTCACCGGGAGCGATGGTCACCAGCCCCGCCTGGGCGGCAGGCTGGGGCACGGCTGCCTGGCAGCAGATCTCATTTTTTTTAAAGGTTTTGGGGTGTTTTTTTCCTCTTGTAAACCCTCCCAGCCCCGATGCCCCGTGGCGTGGGCAGCTGCCTCGGGTCCCAAGCCAGGCAGGAGAAAGGGCAGCGGAGCGCTGACAGGGAGTGGCTCAGCACAGCCTGAGCCCTGCGGGCAGGGCGACCAATCTGGGCAGGCGGCTGGAGGGGGTGATGGTTGGGGGGTCAGGGCCTGGAGCTTCCCCAGAGATAACGTGGTCCAGCTTCCAGCACAAAGGCTCCCCTAGCCAGAACAGGAGCTCTTCCCCTAAGCTGACTTCCAGTCACCCCCCTAGGCCCCCCCCAGATCCCCTTCCCAGGCATTTTCTCCCTGCTGGGCCCTGTACCCCACAGCCCAGCTCCCCAGCCCAGCCTGTGCCGCGCTGTAAGTAGGTCAAGGAGCTGGCCTGGCTCCGCTCCCTTGTCTTTCCTGTGCCCAGCGGCTCCTGCGAGTCTGTTTTTCTCACTCCAAAGGGACTTCGCTCTGCTCGCCGCGTCAAAAAGATGCTCCATGTTAAAATTCAACGCGGCAATGTTAAGCAGCCCTCGGAACTGGGAGCTGTTGGGCAGGTTGGACTTTGCACCCGCCCGGGGCTCACAGCACACCAGAGAGATCCCAGTGCTCAGGGAGAGCAGGCCCTGGCCGCCCAAGCTCCCGGCCAGCTGGCCTGCCAGGCCCTGGCTGTGAGCCCCAGCCCCGTTACTCAGGAGAAAACTTCAAATGGCTGCAAAGACAGGGCCAGGGGAGGGGGGGACAGGGATTTGGGGGCACAAAATCTCATCTAACCAGAACACACTGCGGTGGGCCCTGGCACAGAGATCCAGCATGCGATCTGGACCCAGCTTCCCTGCTGCTGCCCAGACAGAGATCAGAGTAGCCAGAGTGGGCTGTGGCTTGTGTGGTCCAGCCATGACCCACACAGACTTCTCTATCCAGTTCCCTGGGCTGTCTGTGCTGGCCCCACACCCGCTCTCTGGCTTCAGCAAGTTGCTTAACCTTTCTGCGTGTCTCAGTTCTCTTCCCTGGGAGGCTACTAGATCTGATCTCGTAAGATTCATGTAGGGACCCCACGAGTTTACATAAATAACTGAGACTAGTCCCTGCTTCATACACCTGCCATTATTATTACCATCTTTTCTTTTTTTGTTGGTCATGGGGCTTGAACTGTAGGCCTGGGCACTGTCCCTCAGCTCTTCAGCTCAAGGTGAGCTCTCTACCACTTGAGCCACAGCACCACTTCTGGTTTTCTGGTGGTTTATTGGAGATAAGAGTCTTCTGGACTTTCCTGCCTGGGCTGGCTTTGAACTGCACGATTCTCAGATCTCAGCCTCCTGAGTAGCTGGATGACAGGCGTGAGCCACCGGCACCTGGCTTATTACCGTTGTTTTAAATGACTTGACAAGGAAGGGGATCCCAGGATTACGCTGGAGAAGGGCCGCGGGTGGCCAGGGGTGGAATGGGTGTTGGGGGATGAGCAGTGCCCCTCGCCGCCCACCGCACGGCCAGCGGGTGCGAATCTGGGTGGAGATGTGACTTATCTTCTCACATGGGTCCAATCTGCTCTTGAAGAAAGCCCTCGTTTTTCTACAGCAAGTTCACCTGCTGAGATGTTGAGCATGAAGTACCCTCCCCCAACGCTCCCAGCTGTGATGCTTGGGTAGAACTCGGGGAGGGGGGAGGTTGGGGCAAAGGGGGGGGGCTGCCCTGCTGTCCCTGCACTCACCCAGCCCAGCTCTCAAGTCTCAAGACAACTCTCCTCTTCCTCCTCCTCTTGTTCCTCCATTTCCTCCTCCTCCTTTCTTTGGAGTTACTGGGTTTTTGCAACACTCCTGTGTCTATCCTGGGTGACCTTTGCCCTGCAAGCGGCCTTGATCTACCCACACCCGCACACAACCATGTGTGGCACACACGTGCACACACCAGCACTGTACACTCATGTTGGGGAGGGGGGACCAGAGCTTTTAGCAGATGGAGTCAGAATGGATGGGGACACAACTGACAACCCAGGTCTCTGCTCCTCATGCTTTTATCGATCCACTGTCCATCCCTCCATCAGCTATACCTACTCGTCTGCCCATCCTTCCGTCCCCTCTTATCCATCCATCAACCAGCCCTCCATCATCCAGCCAGTTTCTAGTCAGATGCCAGAGTCAGGCCCTGGAACAGAGAACTCCGGGACAGGCACCTGCCCATCCAGCTCCCCTGCCATTGACCCAGAGTTTAGTGAAGGCCACGCAGAGCCGTCCCCGCCAACTCAAGAAGGCAGTGCAGGGGCTGCAGAGCCGCAGCTGTGTGGGGAGGAGCCTGGCTGGGCCTGACCTCCGAGCCTGCTGGACAGGCCCAGGAAGGGAGTGTGTGGAGGCCGGGCCTTGTCCTCGCTTGGCTCCGAGGTGGTCCAGAGGTGAGTAGAATGAGCCAGCGACAGGTGAATGCTTGCAAAGCTCACCTAAAAATGACCTCCAGTGACTCCAGACATCCCTGCGCTCACCAGCTCCATGGCAACCACTGGTGGGGGGGGGGGGCAGCGACACTGCCCCTCCCGCAGCCTGGCTATGATGAGCATCCTGCTTCATTCAGAGTTTGTCTGGATTTTTTTGTTGTTTTTGATTTTCTTTTTGCTGTCCAGAATCCGGTGTGTGCTTTGCCCATCTTCACCGGCTCCTGCGGCCTGGAGCAGAGCCTCCATCTTTCCTTCTTGCGATTAGATCGGGGCGGTGCTTTGCGGGGGACGATGGTGAGGGGTCAGGCCCGCATAGTGTGCTGGCCAGGCGGGGCTCAGCTGCCTGGAGGCTTCCTGGTGTCACGTGGCAGTGTCTAGCCGGTACCTGGTAGTTCTTGGTGTCCAATGATGCCCCTGGGCTGGAAAGAATGCTGAGCCCCAGGCTCCGGGTGCATGAGGCCCTGGGTTCAATCCTCAACGTCACAAAAAGAGGAAGACACACACAGCCCTGCCGGGAGAGCCCACGGATGATTTATGGCCAGATGCAAGCAAGACTTCTCCCTCCCAGGAGTCTGACTCTGTTTCCCCTTCCCTCTCTCCTCCTGGAAGCCCCTCCCTCTGAGACAGCAGAGCAGCCCCTTCCTCCAGCGTCATCCCCCCCCCCCAGCCTGGCACTGT